CGTTGGATAAAAACCGCAATTTTTATACATGTGCATGCAAAACTAATTTCTTGGTAGAGGGGTCTAAATACAGCACAAACAACATTTTCCAAAAGACCAAAAAAGACCAAAAATATATTTATGTACAAAAAAATGATTTAAAGGTGTGTCTCCATTAAATGTGGTTAGCATTGACTTTTCCCCTTTATTTTTGAATTCGTATATCCAAGTAGCTAGCTGCGTATCCGTCGCTCTTACGGTCTTCCTAATATTTCTCGATAATTTGCGGACCAAAAAGTCTCTTTTGTCCGCAAATTATCAAATCAATATCACAAGGACAATAAGAGCTACGGTTTCGCAGCTAATAAATGGTAATGTTACAGAATCCCCGTTATATACTGATGTCACATATAGCTCGTTTGAATTGTTTTACATATGCCATTTCGGGGCCTTTTATAGATTGCTATGCGGTTTGTGTTTTGCTCATTGTCGAAGGCCGTATGGTGACCTATAGTTTCTAACTTCTACGTCATTTGATCTCTGGTGGAGAGTTGTGTTGTCTCATAGGTAATCATACCACATCTTTTTTTTATTATATCGATTTCTATTATCGCAACAACAAAAAAACAAGACTAGTTATTTATAAAATCTTACATATTCCTCAATTTACCGTTATATAAAAACTAGATACAACTTTCAGTGAAAATAAGGTCAATTAGGTATTTGATATAGGTATTTTCTATATTTTTCTAAACAGATTACTTACGTTGTAACATATTTTGGAACTGTCCATTTACATTTATACATCCCAAACTCAAGACAATTAAAATACAATATTTCACAACCATTTTGAATTTCACTTCTTACTCGTTCATGAATTCTGACAAGAAGTATCTACATATGACATTTTAGTATGAAAAGTCAATTCAGGGAAAATACCAAACCTGATGCAACTTAACATGTGGTAAACATCTTTTACGAACAAAACCTAAATTGTTTCCATATAAATAACCTGTCAGAAGACAATGAAATTATTATGTTAAACACTAATTGTCCAGACAAAAAAATGCAGATATTCTTCATGTAAACTTATGAATAATTAAACCAATTCTTCCTACATAATGTTAAAAAAATCAGTCAACAGGAGTTTCCTAACATTATTTTCCCACGGAATTGTGTATTATAACAAGAACCGGCGTGATTGGCTATATACCATATGTGTTAACAGTGTATTCCTAGTATACTTTAACATATACATGTACCTACATTTGTTTGGCCCATATAGCATTGTCTAAGCAAATTTGCTTAGCCGCATAATGAGTACATGTGCACTTTGAACTATTTGAACTGTGATTAATTTGTATGGAAACAAAAAGAAAATGTTATCAAGCATCTATAAAAGAAAGACAATAGAAGGCAATAGCCAAAACAATTCGTAATGCATGAATTGCTCATCCTTCATTTATCAAGTGCAATGGTGTCTGTTGAGGATTTGCTGATCAAGACGATTTAAACAGATAAAAGACATCAATGTAGACCATTAATTTTGTTTAACTGCTTAATCTATTTTGCTTCTTTTTTTTGTGTTAATTTGTTTTCTCATTGACGTGTACCGAATATCGCATTATATTCGAAAAATTGTAACAGTCTGCATTAACATGTGCCCCAAAAATGAACTAAAACTCCTTTTTTCTGTATTAAGGTCAACATAAAGATTTCGAAACCTTCAGCAACGACTAATTCACCAAATAGAAAATTTATATTCCTTAAGGATGTTTGCTCCTCTTGTTTTTGAATTTTTACCAGATTTTCGGAATCCTCTGATTTTATCCGTGTATTGCCATTAAAAAAAATTGCCCGCTAACCCCTACTTTTCTTTTCAAAATTTTATTACATAAAGTTTAAAAAGCCATATTTGAAAATCTTATAAAATCCTTGTAATTTTTTCATAGTTTTTGAAACGAAAAAGCGGCCAATGTTAAAAGTATGAAAAATCTAGAGAGAATAATTTCCCGCCAAATTTTCAATGGTTTATATCGCGAAAACAAGCACACGGACCTTTCATTTTTTTCTGCATTTTTAGTTCCTTTATTTATATACTATCAATTTAGAACAGTCTTTTAAAAAGCTTGTTATTTTGAAACAGAGTAGCGAACATCTCTTTGTTTATGCGCCTATGTGAGATTTTGTATCTGTAAATCCAGTTCTCAGGAACAATGTAACGTTTTAAGTTTCATATTCCTGACCGAAATTATTTATAAATTCGATATTAAACTTGATATCAAGAATACATTTCCGGCACTTATTTTTCCTTAAAGAAAACAATTAAAATTATAAAAAAAAGTCCTCTATCTAGACATGTCTATTAATATTGACCATTTATCATTTATCATGGTTTTCCTTTTATTGTGATAGACAGTTATTAATGCTTGAATTGCGGTACATGATGTAAAGCGAATCAAGTGAAATGTGCATTCAAGTTTCAACCTCTTATACCAAATTCTTTACAATATTGGAAATACGTATAATTATTGCTTCCACAATATTTTGTTTTAGATGCAAATATACAAAATCAGAAATCTTTGGCACATATAATTTAATATCTGTTAATCTAAATTAAATACTAAATATCAAGTTTCTACCCTTTTTTGTCTAGACAAAAATTTCAAATATTCTTTATTTAAACTTATAAATAATTAAACTAAGCCTTCCGACATAAGACATACTGTTCTTAAAGAAAACTCAAACATAATGAGTCTTCCTACCTCTAGTTAATTTTTAACCTTGAATAAAATTGAGAATGGAAATGGGGAATATGTCAAAGAGACAACAACCCGACCAAAGAGCAGATAACAGCCGAAGGCCACCAATGGGTCTTCAACACAGCGAGAAAATCCCGCACCCGGAGGTGGTCCTCAGCTGGCCCCTAAATAAAATTGTGTACTGGTTCAGTGAAAATGGACGTCACACTAAACTCCAAAACATATAAAGGAACTAAAATTAAAAAAACATACAAGACTAACAAAGGCCAGAGGCTCCTGACTTGGGACAGGCGCAAAAATGCGGCGGGGTTAAACATGTTTTGTGAGATCTGTCTATTTTGCCTGAAGAAGTTGCAATCAGTTTTTTTTTGTCCAGCAATTCTTTCAAATCATATTCCTATGTAACTGCAGATTTTGAACAAAAAAGAATATATATGGAAGGAATAAAAGTCTGTTAAAATCCACTTATTTGTGAAGTTTGTAACGTACCTTCTATTAAAATTACAGTCTCCAAGAATATTATTCGCCATGTAGTCAGTACTTAAAAACACTGGAAGATCGCGTAATCAGATCATGTAACCGCATTATATTATTATTACAAAAATAAGAAGAGATAGTTTGATTGGCAACGAGACAACTTTCCAACAGAGACCATTTATTTTTCCTCCAAAAATAATTCTTGAGGTTATAAGAACGCACAGTGATATATTTCAATGGGCTAACGTTCATTATTTCTAAATCACCATAAAAAGTATGGCGTAATACACATTTCTTATAGCAAGTTTTCGTTCTTTCGTACATAACTGCAAATCCATAAATTGAATAAAATGTTATTTAAAATTTTCAACACGGTTTTACATGTTCATGGAATAATAAGAAAATCAACTATATTGTTAAAGATCTTGACCTATATATATTTGCCATCTCTATTCACACGAAGCAAAGCTCATCCGAAGATTATAATATACCATAAAACATGTTGATCTAGTCTTTCAACTTCAGCTTCCATTCAAAGAGGGAGAAGACAAACAGGGGCTATCGAAAACCATAAGTCGAAGAAAATATAAACAACAGTTACAAATAACACTTCACAGAAAACTATAGATTAAGCAACACGAAGTCCACCAAAAACTGAGGGTGAACTCGGATGTTCTGGAAGGGTCTATAGTTTCTGTTCCACAAAGTGACCCACCGTGTTACTCCTGTTAAAATGCTTTGATGTCAGAGTGATATCCAATGATTATACATCATGCAGTGCACTGTCTCTTTTCTAACCACAAGACAGCATCAAATTCATAAACAGTCGTTACATGTAAATTTTCTAACCCTAAAACTTGACTGAATGTACAAATTTGATATGAACACATTGTTTTCCATGACTAAGTACTCGGAAGGTTAAGCAGGTTAAGCAGTTCCTACTCTATTAGTGACCCATCGTGTTGCTCATAACAAGTAAAAATTCAGTAATAAGTCAAATTCGAAGAAAGGAGGATCTGAATGTGGCTACGACAAAAGGAATATATCAATGTTCATTTGTGACACTAATATTTCATAACGGTCAGTACAATAGACGATGCATAATGCATAAATAATCATTATTTCAAAGGAAAACTATACCTCGAATATCTTAATCAGTTTGAAATTAATGAAACCACCTGAAGTTGAACATCGTTGTCTTAGAAAGTTTCGTACATTTAAATTACTATTCACATTACAAATAAACTTTCATCATCCTAGTGGCTACTAGGCAGATGATACTCATGGGGTCTATCAGTCGACCAGCACGGTACACTCGGCTGGTTGCCCAATGGTCTATGTATTTCATCTACAGTGAACACTAGAGTTTGAATCACCCTCATGCCAAGGTGTGTCCGATCTGATCTTAATTGACTAGTATTGTCTGTTTTTGTGTCGAAGGTCGGTGGTTCTCTCCGGGTACACTGGTTTCCTCCAACAATAAATATTTGCCGCTATAAAATGCCAAAGAGTACGTAAAGTGGCGTTAAATAACAACTTTCAATCAATCAATCTTCCATATTACGTTTGTTCTTATAAATGTTCCTGTCTAATTATGATGGCAATCATTTATTGCGTTCATCCTCATTCTACCTCCAGTTCGCCTAGTCGGTAATTGTCTAGTTTGTTCTTTTGTTATATTTTTTTTTAGTTAAAAGACTGTTGTTAAAATATGTAAGCTTTGTTTTGTTATACTGAAATTGCTACGATTTGCGTTTATGTGTTTTATTCCAAAAAATATAATTATACATAGAAGTCTTTAATCAACAAATATATCTATTAAAAACAATACATGGAACTACATGTACAACAAAATTGTAAAACAAACTTTAACAATGACAAGATTACAAAGTTTATCAAATTCATGATTGACAACATGAGTTATTGCAAAATACTTTAGTATTCCTTGATCATAATTCCTTTGTAACAACAATAATCATTCCATCCTGACTTGTTATAGTTCTCGCACTAGTAATAATAGTAGTATAACGGAAATATGTCATCACAGTTTTAGTTAAGCTAGGGTCGGAAAGTATATTGTGATTTGATAAACTGCCCTGTCCCAGCATGCATCATGTTTTTTCTGCTGACTTTTTAATATAAAAAAAGCATATTGACCAAACCAAATGTACAATAATATAAATAAGTTCATAGAACTGCAAAAACGGTCGTTTCGTCTATCCTATGCAAATAAAGCAGCTGAAAATAAAAAAATATAAAACTAGGAATTTGGTTTTTATAATACTATTCAGGAAGAAATGAAACAGAAATTTATTAATGTGACGTTGCCTAATAACATTTCAAATAATCTCCTTTTTAATACTATACATTCAGTAAAACCAATACCATGGTGTTTTTAAAAGTGAGGGGAGATAACCCTAACATCTATAACGAAAATATGAACAACGTGTACTAGTTCTTCTTCTTCTAATAATTTGCATACCACCTCTGGTGTATTATCGCAAATGAGTTCAGTGATAATGTATCATCTTTATGATTTTTCTTTCAGGTTTCAGTTATCTCCTTTTCTAATTTGTTTATGTTTCTTTTTTGTTTGTTATCTTCATAGATTGCACCGTCAGTTGACTCAGACTAACCGTTGCGCAACTAGTATGACGACCGCGTTTCCCGGTCTCTGCTATCCTCCATATAACATTACATACATAACTTTAATGCTCATGGTATTTGACATGACTTGCAAATTTCATAACGAATGATGAATACACACCAGGAGATGCTTACTCTGAAGACACACTCAGTATCATTCTGTTTTGAGTTTCTGTGATTTGGACTGTTTCACTCCCATGTTGTCTGTTTTTACTTAAACCAAGGAGGTTATATGAAATATAATATAATTTCCTTGCTTAAACTTATCCGGCTTTTTAAAACTAATTTCGGTATGCTATCGTCATGTTTATTTACCGAACGGCAACAATTACTTAAATTTCAGTTTTGTTTTCACAATCTCCAAACATTACTATTATAATACAACATAAATGACTCACCCATTAACAGGGATGGATTTGACATCAATGAACGCATATCTCCAACTGTCCCTCGTTCCTGCACGTGTTCTAATCCTTCATCTAAAAATCCTCTTGACTGTAATATACCACCTTTAATCGTAGATAGAAATGTAATCAAATCAACTACAACTTACTTTTTTCTTTTCTTTTCCAAGAAAGTCACAATTGTCATATTCATTAGGATAATAAGTATAAGAAAAGGTTTTTCAGATAATGAAACTTCAATTTTTTTGTGCTTTTTTTCAATTTCAAAGTTTCAAGTGTCAATTTTCGAGTTAAAATCAAGTTTTTAAATGTGAATGTTCAACCTATCAAGAACTGATCAATCGACCCAACCTTTTATAAAATCAAATTTTAAAATTCCAGCTCTGATATTATATTTAATATGTATAATTGCCAACTAAAATTGGGTACCACCGAAGCGGAGAGAGGACAAAAAATAAGCAAATTGAGATAACGCTTATCAAATAATTTTCTTTTGTATGCTAACATGTACCAAACAAAGTCTAGATTTTGTGTTTAACTTAAAAAGAATGGTAATTTTGTGATCGATCGACTTGTCGCCACACAGGCTAGATATTAAACTGTTTTCCCTCAATTTAAGAATGACAATAGGACTTCAAATTCTTTGAAATTCTGTTTCTTAAATATGTTTGAAAACGAATACCTATTTAAACAATTAAATTAGTGCATATAAACTTTCCATTCTCGGATATAATTTTTTACGAAACTTCATAGAAAAAAGTGGCACAGTTTTAGTCGTAAAAGGAGTTCCTATGAGAAATTGCATTGTCATATTTACAGAAGTGCAACCAATACAGTGTGTCATCTGTACACTCCAAACACGAACACCGTAATTCGCAGAAGGAGTGGTCCTTCAAAATTTTCTTTGGACCATTGGAAACCGAGCAATATTCTATTTTGCAAAATTGTATCCCAATCAAACAAATCTCAAAAGAAAAAGGCAGCCATTGTATAGACTACACAGTATTACAATAGTTCTTAGAGACTGTTAATTTCATAAATATATTCATAAACAAATGTTTTTTCTACCTAATTATACACGATATATATTAAACATACAAAAACAACAATAGTAAAATTACTGAAAATTTCTCAGCATGAAACTTTAAAGCACCGTGCAAAATTTAAACTTGAAACTCGAAATCTGAAATTCGTTACTCGAAACATAAAAATCCTAACTAGAAACTGTTACAGATCTGAAGGTGACACATTGCAAGGCAAAGGTTTTGTCACTACCCAACAAACACCCTTTTTTCCAGTGGAAGTCAAAATTTCTCGGTCAACCTATATTGCAGAAACTATTAATTGAATTGATATTTTCACGTCCTGAACATGCGTGAAATATTTTCCACTGGAATTAAAAGGCAAACAACAATCAACCAATCATTTAAGGAAAAAATGTAGTTTTCATCTCAAATTTCTGAATTGGTGTCTCATCAAAATTGTTTTCACAGAAAATGACGCTGCTCGTCAATCACATCACCTTCACATGAAAACCACTTCCGTTTAATAGTTCTCGCTGTTGTTTTGTCTACTTACTTCCAAATGGATTGTATTGTCTCTGCGGTCTATATGTTTCATACATACTAGGTCTTCTTGTATTTCTCGATCGTGGATATAAATATCGAGAAAAACTGTTATATTGAAAAGATGGAGATTCACGTAGATATTCTAATCCTTCATCCAAGAATTTTCTTTGTGATCGATAGTCTAAAAATAAAACAGACAACATGTCAATTCTATATGTATACAGGGAAAATTGTATATGAAGCAATAGCGCTTCTACTGTAAAATCTAAGGCATTGGTTGAAAACTAAGCACAAAAAGACCATTTCGAGCTTTTGAATATTACTTTTATTCTATAACGATTTTTGGAAATGAATTTTTTATTAAATATGTAGCTAGCTGTTAATAAAATGCTAAACGAATTTGAACATTGATATTGACGAGAAGTATTTTTCTCCGTTTGTTTGACAATTATTAGTATTATGACAAATAAGACGTTTTAATTTACGAAAAATTATTGGTATCTTCTTTTATGCATGATACATTTGAGTACGTTTTATTTCTTTGCATGGCGTTTAAAGCAGGCTTCTGGAAAGACGTAAATGTCTAGTCGAACTATTTGAACTAAATTTTGGCGTCAAAATATATGCAAAAATCTTATAGCTGAAGAACCATTTGGTTGAGTTGTTTATCAAGCAAATCATAACAGAAATTTGCGAAAGCTGACCTTTGAAGATAAAGGTTCGAATAAATATTCGCATAAGCATTCATTTAAGTTCAACAAATTTCTGGAAACCTGATATATGTTATGGTCATAGATTATATATATTAGCTTTCAAAAAATATCAATTTTCAATTATGTGTTAGATATACTAAGGGAGCTACCATTTGATTTTTATGGGGGGGGGGGGCTAGGATGAAAAATTTTGTCCTGCTTTTTTTTTTTAGTTGTAATCTCTGTCCTGGCGTTTTATTTTTTACTCTATTCGGTCCTGCCTTTTTTTTTAACTAGTTTATCCTGAATTTTTTTACACAAATTGTCATCCTGCCTTTTTTTTTTACCAAGTTGCTCATCCTGCCTTTTTTTTTACTCAAAACTCCTGGCCTGCCTATTTTTTTCAAATTTCATCCTAGCCCCCCCCCCCCCCTCCCCATAAAAATCAAATGGTAGCTCCCCAACGGTTTGAATCAAGCATTTTTGCACAGTTTGGAATAATGTATTAAATGCATCCCTAACTCGTATCGGAAATTTGGCTCGTGTGATGAAAAATAATTCAAGATTTAGTTTAAGATAATCAAACTTTTACTTTTCAACAATACTATACCTTGATAAAACTGTGTTGATGCTTCCAAGATAGATAATGCAAATATCAGGCAAACAAATATGTAATTCATTTTTGTATATCCTAGATATATGCTGAAATTAAATTAAAAAGACCAAATATAGATTATTCGATTGATTGATGGGCGTTTGGAATCTAGCAGCAAGTATTTAACTAGAACTGTCGATATTTTCAACGGTAAAATCAGATAAACTTTTGACATTTCTTCAGAAATATTAATATTACTACACAAAGAAGGATATGTTAGGTCCTTTGTGCTCTCATGATACTCCTGTGTTGTTCTTTGTAGTGCATTGTTCTCCTTTGTGGTGTTTTTAAAAACCCGTAAATTTCAAAATGTACATTGTGTGACATTGGTTGCATACGAATCATATTTTGTCATTCGTTCTACAATGCACATATGTGTATCATTATCAACGTCTAGCAAAGAAATTCGCTTAAACCGGTTCTACAAACATGTAGTGGCCGTCTTGAACTTGCAGTGAGTGAACTGTGTCTGACCCTAGTTTTTTTGTTGAGGTTGGTGTTGCTATGTCTTTAGTTTGTATGTTGTGTTTTCTAGACTGTTGTTTGTCTTTTCGTCGTTTTTGTTTTTTGCATGATTTTGACAGTCTCTCTTCGTCTTATGAGTTTTGAATCTCCCTTAAGCATTTAAATGACGCACGACAATAGAAGTGTTATTTCTTTGCCTTGGGTTTTCCAAAGTATGTGCAGGGATTCTGTGAGATGATTTAAAACACTAGATCATTTATTTTCCATTTAAAGTTCAAACTAGTCATAAAAGGTGTGGAGTTTTCTCATTGGTGAAGGCTGTATGCTGACATATAATTTCTTACATACACAACATTTGAACTCTGGTGGATTGTTGTCTCATTGGCAATCATATCACATCCACATCTCCTTATTTTTATATAACCTACCCAAATATTATTTTGAAAATTGCAAGAAAAATGTTACTTTCAAAATTTATATTTTCAACCCCCTAAAAAGACGACAACAAACATACAATAACTACAAATACAGGGTCATCTTGGTTATTTCTTAGTTCATAATGATTATCTCTATATCTGTCCACATAAATTCATATAATAGTATGCCATTGAACCTCTGTTCAGGGCCGTTTAGTGACCAGCAATATACATAAGTAATACGTGGGTGTCAGTAATAAGTAAATGTAATGATCTTCTTGTCACATGTAAATAATATTTATCTTAAACATATTTATTGACACCATATTTACTAGCTTCATGAGTGTCAACATTAATATGTCATTGAAATAATGATATATTTGGGCTAAATGACAGTCAGACAAACAAACAACCAGGGAAAGAGAAAACCCGCACGTATTGTTATTTAAAAATGTCTTATATGTTTACGTGCATTCAAAATGATTATTCTTATAATTTAAGATTTTTTACGTAAATTAAAAGAAATAAATGCATGTATTTCTATGTGAAGATAATTTCAACTTGCAAGAGTTGCAAACCTAGAAAAAAGCTAAAATAAAAATCAGCGACATCGCTCATTTATCGAGCCATTTTAAAAACCCCCTCCCCCCTCGTATATTATGATACAACGGATACCCTATTTGAAATTACTAATGCCACGAAAGAAAATTGCCATCGCTTTTTCTATATATATCTATTTTTTTTTATATATAAGTTGATAAACAGACCGAACCTGTAATATGAAAATCTGCATCCGTTAAACTGATAAGTTTTCGAAACCAAGTACTTTATTTTCTTATATTAGGTACATGTAATTACAGATTTTCTGTATTTTTTCTAATGAATAATTTATTTCACCGTGAATAATTTTTTTTATTCCATTTCACATTTGGACAACTATTTTAAATATGATTATTGAAAGCTAATATCAGGCTTATCAAGTTCATAACATCTGGATCTAGCACAAACTGCCCCAAAACAAACAGACTATAGGACAGTTTATCTTTAAAAAGTTGAATATCGAAAAACGATAATCTAACCTACATTTGATATGTTATAACAGATAACTTGCTTAAGGATATATCAAACATCGATGACCTATTACTTCAAGGTATACATAATTTCCCCTGTTAAGGACGAGAGATACTACTGAGACCCGATTACCACAAAATATCTTATAAAAAAATTCTTAAGTAGTAATTTTTTTTTCTATCATTAATATTCAACATGTGGGGTGAATTACAGGACAATATATTATTTATTGTTATCTCTATTCATAATTTGTTTTATATGTCAATGATGTAGACTATAAATGAAAAAAATATTGATAGATTAATGAGTGTCTTTAAGTTAACATTTGCCCCTTCGCATATATAGATATTGAATATATAAGCAAAAAAAAAGTCAATGACAAGGCAAATCACACTGTCATGTTTATATAGCAAGCGATATAAAAGGAGTATATTTCTTCAGTATAGAATTTGTGACAATTTTAATATGTTGTAATAAATATTTTCCCGAAGCGATGAAAAGATATTTTAAATTTCAACTGACGCTCAGCTCAAAGGTAATAAAACAATAGCTTTTCCCTTATGAAGACACACCGATAAGTCACAAACGTAATTTTTTAGAACTCAAATATGTTAATGTAAGGCAGAATTTATAGGTGGTGGATCATGATTTTTAGAGAGTGGGTGGCTTCAATAATGCTTGTATGAAATAGAAAAAGTTACATAAAAATAAGAAGATGTATTATGTTTGTCAATGAGGCAATTCTTCACCAGTGACCAATTGACGTAGAAGTTTTCAACTATAGATCACCGTACATCCATCAACAATGAGCAAAACCCATACCGCATAGCAAACTATAAAAGGCCCCAAGATGACAAATGTAAAACAATTCGAACGAGAAAAACTAACGGCCTGATTAAGAGACAAAAAAGAAAAATAAACGAAAAACAAATATGAAATACAGCAACAAACGACAATTACTGATTTATAGGCTCCTGTCTTGGGACAAGCACATACAAAATGTGGCGGGGTAAAATGTTTGCAGTCGCGCCAACACTCCATCAACCTAGGACAGTGGTGTGGCAGTACAACATAAGAACAAACTATAATCAAAGCACTGAAGTACTGAACATCGGATGACTGCAAGTTCTGGTGGATGGTCACAAGCACTTGTCTCAGAAAAAAAATCATATAAATAGATATATTTTTTTTTCTGACACAAGTTCTTGTATGGATGATGAATAAATGACAGGGAATTCAACCTCGCCGTAATAATTATTATTGTATTGTAGTTATATAATCATTTGTTATCAGTATACTCTGGTTTGTTGTTATATATTATATTAATATTTGTATAACATTTATATATATAGCAGATCATCTTAATAACTCTACAGGCAAATTTTCATCCAGTTATATATCATTCTATTCTACTATTCTAATGATAGTGCAGTGCAAGTGCATGGTGGACACTCTTCTGTAATAATTCGTTTTTCTAATAGATTTGATTTGAGTAGGCATTCATATTTTCCCGCTTTTGTTGCAAAACGTTCTCGAGATATTCTTTCGCATGCGTTAACACAAATTTTCGGTATTCATGATTTTTTATTGAAAATTATTTTCATGAATATTTATTGATGAAATTAATATATAACAAGCGATAAGGAATGTTATTTTGCACTCAATGATATCCGCGTAATTATACGAAATACGTTCGCGGTTATCAGTCAAACGTCAAGGAAATTTCTGCGGCAACATAACACCGGCATGACCTCTCAAGGTCACATCCGATGTAAAAATAAGTTGGAAACTTAAAAGACACAAAGTACAGAAATGAGAGTACTGGAAGTTACTGAAATCTAGTTCAAAACCAATAACAACTAATAAAAATATCATGTATCTAAGACTAAAATATCAATGAGTACACATCCAACTTTCAATGGATTTAGTGTAAAGACGTCATTAATAGAATTTAAGTCTTGTACTTAAATTCAGTTATCACGGTGCGCTGTACCATATATGTTTTGTTTGGTTATTAGTGAGTTTAAGTATACCATAATCTCATTGGTGGTTACTGAACCGTTAAATCTGACGTAAATAGCCTTTTCAATTTGGATCCAAGGAGGAAGGTAGAAGACAATTGAACTCGAATATAAAACCAAAAACCCGCCCTGCCTCCCAGTAATTTGACTATTTAGTAAATATATCAAGTGTGGACACAGAGTTGTGTTATCTGATTGGTCATTTTTATAATGACTGGTGCATGGGATGATTCTGCAGAGTGTCTGTAGGTGCACATCCCATTTAAATAAAAAAAAATGTTGTGTTGTTTGATTTGCTAATATGGACACTGTTTTGCATCGGAAACATTACCAAGACTGATATTGTACAGCAAATATGTTGCATATTTAATTGTCATGCCCTAAACTCCTTGCACCAAACTGAAATTTAAAGGAGCAAGATAAAATGTATGTTGTCGAATCTTTGAAATGTGAATTTAACGCAGGAAAAGAGCGTCAATACTTGAGAATATCAGTAAACAAATTTGTTACTGATATTGAACATGCAATGAAAAAATTTAGCAATTTTTCTGTCTTGTAAATATATTTAGAATTATAAACTGCTTTGGTTTATGTTATATTTTCATGTGTTGTTTGAGTTGACATTTCTGGACGCCTACATGTATTTTGCGAAATGGACATGTGAAGAATTCCGATTGATGTAAAAAGAACTGTCCTCATAGAATGATGTACACATGTGCTCTGATTTGCAGAATTCGCTGCATCAAAAAACATTTCGTTTTATAAATAGTTTCATTCACTACAGATGAACAATGTAAGGGTTTTGGTCCATCACCTGTGTAGTCTGTGGTAGTCATTTATATATATATTTGATAGTACGGTTGCCATAATCAGCGATATGCCGGTAACCTCATATTTTCAGATATACCAGTGACAGTTAAATTGCCAGCGATCTGCGGCACATACATACATTTATATTGAGATTACTTACATACAATATGTAAAAATTTGAATAATATTAAAGGCTGTGGCCAAATACTGCCAATTTGTTGTTGGGTTTTGACAAGCATCTGGGATAACAGCCGTTTACCTATG